GTTGGAAGCAACCTCAGAGCCCATCAGTAAATGAGTGGATTAAAAGACTGTGGTACATATACGCAATGGAATACTACTCAGCAGAAAGAAAGAGTGAGCTCATATCCTTCCCAACAGCATGGATGGATCTGGAGAGCATTATGCTAAGTCAAACAAGCCATGTGGTGAAAAACAAATACCACATGATTTCAACTATTAGTAGAACTTAATCAACAGAACAAATAAGCAAGCAAAATATAACCATAGACATTGAAATAAAGAAGAGACTGACCGTGACCAGAGGAGGCGGGGAAGGGATTAAGGGGGGTGGGGTGGGGAGAGAAAGGGTAATCAAGAAACATGTATAAAGAAAACATAGGCAAAGCCAAAAAGGGGTACGATTCATGGTGGGAGGTAGAGGTGGGAGGAACGGGGGGAGTCATGGGGGAAAAATGGAGAAAGCTGTATGTGAACATCAATAAAAAAAATTGGCAAATAACTTGAACATTACTCCAGAGAAGATATGCAAATAGCCAAAGTAGCATTTGAGAAAATGCTCAGTACCACAGTCATTGGGAAATAAAATCAAACCACAATGAGATACTGCTTCACACCTACTAGGATAGCTTTTTTTTTTTTTAGGACAGTTATTAAAAATGGAAAATAAGTGTTGGCAAGGATGTGGATTAATTGGAACCCTTGTACTTGTATGTTGCTGGTGTGAATCTAAAATGGTGCAGTTGCTATGGAAAGCAATTTGGCAATTTTTCTAAAAGATAAACATAGAATTACCATATGGCTCAGCAGTTCTACTTCTAGGTATATTCAAAAGAACTGAAATCAGGGACTCGAACAGATACTTGTACATCAATGTTCACTGCAGCGTTATTCATAGTAGCAAAATAGTGGGAACAACTCAAGTGTCCATTAACAAATGAATGGGTAAACAAAATGTGGTGAACATACAGGAATATTATTACTAAGCCATAAAAAAGGAATAACATTCTGATACATGTTACAATATGAATAAGCTTTGAAAATATGCTGAGTGATAGAAACCAGACACAAAAAGACAAATATTGTTTGATTCTATTAAAAGTAGAGTGGTGATTACCAGGGGGTGGAGAGAGGGGGAAATGTGGTTACTGCCTAATGGTTACATAGCTTCTCTTTCAGGTGATTTAAAGTTTTAGAAATATATTGTAGTGATGGTGTCAATAAATTGTACACTTAAAATCATTAAAATAAAACTTTCCACGTTATATATTTTACCACAATAAAAAAATTTAAAAACATGTTGAAAGTGATGGACAATGAATGCCTAGTTGGATAAAGAAAGAGGTGAGGCAAAAGGTGGCTAACACAAAGGGGAAAGTAAGGGATAGGTATATTTAACAACACACAAATTCAAGTTTGGAATGGACAATATACTTTCCTAGGAGCTGTGTAGGGGTACTGAGTTACAAAGTGGTCACATATGCTAGCTCCAGATTCAGAATGTAAAGGTTTGAATCTCAGCTTTACTATTAACCAACTCAATGAGCTTGGTCAAGTTATTTAACCAGTCAGCATCTCAGCTTTCTCACATATAAAATGTGGGTAACAGTACCTACTCCACAAGAATGATTTAAGAATTAAATTAATTAATGCAAGTAAAGCCCATAGAACAGTATTTGGAACATAGTAAGCACTTCAATAAATGTATAAATGTTAGTAATGATTATTACTGTACATAATAAAAAATTTAGGCTTTGGCATCACTTTCAAACCCAAGCTTCCTCCTCTATGCTGTCCCTAAACACAATTTTTAACCCAAGAGGTGAGGTGGGGGCTGGATGGGGAGCAAATGGAGGACATCTGTAATAGTGTCAACAATAAAAAGACTTCAGGCATGGTATAAAGACACAAAAGCTAAAATAGAGGAAAAAAACAAAAGAAACAAAGGAACAAAAACCCCCCAAAACTCTGGAAATGCAGAAGGAGCTATTAATTACAACATAGGGCCAGGAAGATAAGGGTGTCAGAGAAGATTTCAAAAAGGACCTGACTTTTTAGCTGAGCTTAAAATAATGAATTAGTTTTCCCATTGGCAAGAAAAGGGTTGTTAAGGCATTGCAGCATGAGTAAACAGCATGAGAAAATGCACAAAAGTCAGAAAAGTTTAGCGTGTCTGGAATATATGAGGTCTGTCTGGAAAAAGTCTAACCATTGTTACTATAGCAAGAATGGTTTGCGCAACACTGATGCAACCTGGCAGCAAAGGACAGTGCACTGGAATGTACATGGGTGAACAATGATGACTTCACTGTACTAGTCAGTGGGGGCTGTAGATGCTGTTGAGTGAGCATGTGTACTGTGTGGTCATCACATTCAAAATGACTGAGTGAGTAGAGCAATGAATCTGCATCAAATTTTGCATTAAGCTTGAACATTTCTCCATGGAAATTTTTCAGATGATTCAGAAGCTGCAGCTATGGGCAAGTGGTGATTGGCAGCTTCATCACCACAAAGCACCTGCTCATGCATCACATCTCATGCAGTTTTTTGGCAAAACATCAAATCACCCAAGTGACTCAGGCCCCCTACAGCCCAGATTTGGTGCCCTGTGACTTCTGGCTTTTCCCAAAACTAAAATCACTTTTGAAAGGGAAGTGATTTCAGACCATCAATGAGATTCAGGAAAATATGACAGGGCAACTGACGGTGATTGGGAGAACTGTGTGAGGTTCCAAGGTGCCTGCTTTGAAGGGGACTGAGGCATCATTGTCCTGTGTACAACGGTTCTTGTATCTTGTATCTTCTTCAATAAATGTCTCTATTTTTCATATTGCATGGCTGGATACCTTCTGGACAGAACTTGTAGGTCACTTAGTGAGATATAATGGGGAAAAATGGAAAGCTGCTGAAGGATAGAGTTTTGAAAGTCTTGTTAGGGAATTTGGTGATATTTTATAGATGAATTTCCACTGAAAGTCTCTCTTTTAATATTGAGTGCATAGGAAAAGGTGAGTGGGTGCTTATAGCCCAGTTGTGCTGGAGGATTACTTGCAAGATGAGAAATCCACACTGATTTTTACACCCAAGTAGCAACATTTTAAGACACGTAATGTCTTGATTAGCCCTGATACTACATGGGCTTTCCTGAATTATTTTACCAGGAAAGGAGATGAAACAGAGATAAAGTTTTGACTTCAAGCACACTCCAGGAATAATTTGGTAAATAGCTGTGTCTCTCACAATTCCCACCCAAAAAGAGACCATCAGTTTTTTGCTTTGATACAAGTATCATCATACCCCACACTCACCCTTCTCTTTAGCTGATGAAAAATTCTATAGCCATGAACTGATTAAGTGTGTGCTCCACAGGGTATTTGAGACACAGAATATTCCAAAGGGTATAGTCTAGTTGTATTGTGAAGATTACCAACGCTGAAAGCAGTACCTATAGCAAATTTCAGGTTATGGGAGTTCTTTGTATTAAAAAGCAAGTTGTAAAGAACTTCGAAAATCATCTAAGTTGGAACTGCACATTGCAAAAAGCCTATTTGCCTTTTTTTTCACCCTTAATGCCTAAGTGTGGCTGGTTGGCCTTCATTTTAACTCCTAGATATATAAAATATAAGTACAGATTTGACCTTAGTAGAAATTAAACTTGGGATAACCCTGACTGGTGTGACTCAGTGGACTGGGCATTGTCCTGCAAACTGAAAAGCTGTCAGTTCTATTCCTGGGTCAGGACACAAGCTTGGGTTATACACCGGGTCCCCGTTGGGGGCATGTGAGAGAGAGGCAACAGATTGATGTTATTCTAACACATAAATGTTTCTCTCCATCTCTTTCTCCTTCCCTTCCCCTCTCTCTAAAAGTAAATAAATAAAATCTTTGAAAGAAATTAAACCAGGGATAGCTACTAAAACTAGGGGTGCATGATACCTTGTTGAGATTTTTTAGTTTATGCCTTCCCTCCAAAACATAGACCAAGTTAACAGAGAGAGGAAGTTCAATAGAAAGACCAATATCTGTACAGTGATCCTAATATCTGTATCTCCCAAATTCTGGGCAGGACAGAAAAGAAGATAAGAGCAAGGGACGCAAAGGTTAAGAAGAGGCAAAGGTGACCCCAGATCCCAATCCATACTCTGGCATTCTATGCCACAATCCTCAAACCAGAACCTAACTTTAGTTAACTCTGAACAGGAGGAGCTGAGTTAGTAAAGACAACATGGCTTCAGCTCTGTAAACTGTACAAATAAACAGGATAGTGGGATTAGGGGAATTAATTTCTTCCTAACCACGCATTCCTAAAGGACTTTGGTGTCCCAGGACTATCTCCCAGAGCTGAGCTCTGACCAAAAGGGATCAATAAAAACAGGGGCTACCACCAAGTGTAAGTGCAAATCACCAAGTCCAAAGGATAGGCTAGCAAACAACAGCAAGAGTAAGAGTAAACAGTCACCAAGGCAGGACAAATGAGAAATCCATGAAGCAGTTTTTGTAGTTGGTGCCCAGAAATACCCTCCTCTGAGGCCCAGGACTATAGGGGTGGGGAGTCTCAGACGAAGCAGTAAACCTGGTATCTCTAGATGTATTACATGGAATTTGAGGGCAGAGTGGAGCTGTTTTTTCACAACCACACTTCCATGGTTTTGCTGAATGGAGGTGAGAAGGAAGAATCCTTCTGGGGGTTAAAAAGTTTAAGACATCCTGATGAGACATCCTATATGGAAGGCTGAGCACAAGTTATGGGACTCAGATAGAAATAAAACCATTTGTGTTCTCTTTCTCCTAAGCCTGTGTCTTCACTCCTTTCTCCAGGTCTGTCTAGATGTCAGCCAGTAGCACAGTCATATCTTCTTGTGTAACAGAGTGATTCTATTCTTTGAAATGAAACTAAAGAGTCTGTCAGTGTGAACTTGTTTTGTTTGTATCCCCCTACACACATAGAGAGTGTTGTTTATTATCTTTGTACTGGTTGTGCTTTATCCCTCTGACTAGACTTCTACTGAAGAGCTAGAACAATGTTTTCACCAGTTTCAGCATGCAACTTTATTATGAAAAAGAAGTCTCAAGTGAATACACTTATGTCAATATAAAAAGCACAGAAGTATAACTTACTCAGGATGAACAGTTTCATTATCAGGTCATGTTACAAAAGTATTGAAAATATCTCAATTTATATAGCACAACAAAAATTAATAAATATTCAAACTCTCAAGACCATTTGGTATCCATAAAATTGCCTCCTTCAGTCAACACAGATAACATAAATATTGAACTTATAATATACATCAGTTTCATACTATGACACCAAAAACTTGTTCAAGGCTTTGAGAATATTTGGCTGTTCAGAGTTTGAGTATTAATCGTATAACTTTATCTCTCACCTCAGGATCATTGTGCTCTGCTAAGTCTTGGAGTTTCTGACCAAACTCTTTTGCTTCCTGGAATATGGAAATAAGTTCAGATTTAGTGAACTCTTCCTTGGTAAATAGCTTCACCTTCTTTTTGAATTGGAAATTTATATTCTCAAAAATTTCAATGATATTAAGAATATTGGCCTTTGACTCATTTTTGTTAAAGGGTGCAACTAATGATGACAGTACTTTGGCACTTATCAGTTCTCTTGTATTAGCTTGATTTTTAGACAAGCGCAAAAACACTTTTAAAACATAAAACTTGGTTTTGACACTTCCTTTGTTTAACAAGGTGAGGAAATCTGGAATATAACTGGCAATCATATGGTGATTCTCAAATTTCACACTCAAATGCTCCAATAATTTTAGTCCAGCAAGTTGCACATGGGAGTTCAAAGGGTAAGAAATTATGTCTTTACAAACTTGATTTATGTATGACTCTTCTGTTTTTAGCTCTTCAGAAGACTCAGAGTTGTCATCTACCTTAGCTCTAGGGTGGTCTTTAATATTGGGATTACTTACCAAGTTTTCAATCATAACAGTAATACCTACATCATGAACTATATCTTGGGTAAATGGGTAAGCAGGACTGATGCCCATTATCATCTTTGCTATTTCATGAATGAAAGGATCCTTAGTTAACTTAAGTAGGGCAACAAGTTTATCAAACTCTTTAGGCTCTAAACTGAAGACACGTGATTTGCAGCGACAGGCTTTTGGATTGGGACCATACTTTTCCCTATACCTAACCTGTTCTTTGATCTCGGCTAAGGTCTGGAAGTAAGGCCCATTATAAGGTGGAATCTTGGTCAGAGGCCGAATCCCCAGAGGAGTTTCAATCAAGGTCTCAACCAGAGTCCAATTCCCTTCTGGAGGTAAGGATCGCTCCTTTCCTTCTATTGGGACTAGGACACTATACCTGGCCCTGGACCATGCTGCCACTTTTTGCTTTATAGTAAGTTCTGGTTTGGGTGTGGGCTTGGACTTTTCCTGGATCTTAGGTGGAGGCTTATAAACTTGATAAGGGGTCTCCTCTTCAGGCCAGAACCAGGATCCTAAACTAGGCTCTTCTCCAGTCCAGAACCAGGAGCAGATACTGTCTTCATCCTCATCATTGGACTCTATTATAATACCAGCTCTGTCCCCAGCTCTGAACTTGATGCTGGCTTCTATCCTCCTCTCGGGCCTGGATTCAATATTGGCCTTATCGTCATCTTTAGAAAAGGACCTGATATTGGCTTCCCTTCTGGCATCAGCCTTGACTTCATACTTGGTCACAACACTGGCCTTAGACGTAGGCATGGCCTTTGAGTTGTTTTGCGGCAGTATACCAGATTCTGCCAGGGGTTTTGCCTTAGTTTCAGCCATGACTCTAGCCTTAGTCTTGGTTTCCATCTTGCTCACTTCCCTTGCCATAACTATAACCTCATTGTAGGTCACCGTTTGTGTCCTGGCCACTGCTCCATCCCGTCTTGGTCTGGGTCACTGGTCCTGTTTTTGGTTCTGCTTCAGCCACTGTCTTAGTGTGGACCTTAGCCTTGCTATGGTTTTGGCAGGGCCACTGATTCCAGTTTTTAAACCAGCTCCAGCCTCTCTTCTTCCCTTGACTTGGCCTCAAAGCCAGTCATAATCCAAAATAAAGTCAAGGCCAGTTTATATACCCTCACCCCCCTCACAGCCTTGACCAAAGGTCTGTCCCAGGTTGGTGTTTTCATACAAAGTCCAGTAGTCACTCAGCCCCCTTTCAAACTACGGGCTCTGACAATGATATAAACAACGTGCAGAGAAAGCTCACTCAGGGAAGCGAAGAATGGCTGTGTGTCTGAGCTCTGCCCTGTGGAGGGTGGTGGTTTTCAGCCACTCCAAGGCCACAGATCGGCCACTGAAGTTGGACCTAGGGGTGGAGAAAGCAAATGGGGCTTTGAGTCTTTTACAATGTTTTTCTCATTTCTATTAGCATAGAGAGACAGGAGAGTATAGAAACTCAGTGCTAAATGTGAGAGGCAGATAATTAGCAATCTCCCCCATAAATTCACAGGCCCTTCAACTACAGGTGCTGCTAATCTTCTTTCCAGACACAAAATAGGGGTGTGCAGATTGGGAAAGCTGGATGAAAGTATGAGAGCCCAAGGTTGGCTCTTTACCTCTACTGGGCTCAAGCAGATCTCTACTACCTCATCCTATAGGACTACTGAGGAAGTCTCCATCCACACCCATACCAACCTGTACTGATCTGGAGTATTATCTTCTCCTTTCCTTGCTTTCAATGATGGTAAGTTCTACAGAAGGTCTAAGGACAAATAAACAAATAGGTTATGGAAACTGCTCTCTTGGTAGACAGAACGTGGTCCCTGTTTCCTATATTTCTAGTTTTTCTAGTGTTTTCTTCCTTTCTGTTCTTTCCCACCATTGCCCTGCTTCAGGGCTTCTCATCATATTCCCTGCTGCCCACCATTTTACTCTTCAGTGACTGCACAGGCACTTCTCTAGTTTGTAACTGGGCTAGGGTGCAGCACGTGGATAGGAAAATCAAGTGGGAAGTTAGAAAAGCAGGTATTACTCTTCTCTACCTCCAGTGTTGATGAAGACCCCCAATTAAATCAGCAGTGGACCCAACAGGGGTTCGGAAACTGGCAAAACAGAAAAGATATAATTCTCTAGTCTCAATCATCCTCTGTCCCACTATCATCACACCAGACTTAACAGACACAGGACACTTTTCTCTTCACTTTTCCCTAGTTTCAAGTTGGGTTGCCATTTATAAACCTTCACAACAACCGACAGTTGCACAGACCTAGAGAACACACAAAGATTGACAAACACACAGATAAATAAATAGAAACACAGGAGACAATTGAGACCAAGTCTTTGGTATAGAGAGCAGCACCTAGGACACGGATCCCTTCTGGGTACAGGCACTTGTTTGCCAAAATCTTCTACCTCCCTTTCTTCCCCCTCCCCCAAATCTCCAATCTTGTCTGCTGCATTCCCAAAATCTGACAATTCCCCTACAGAGACAACTCAAATATCCCTTCACAATACTGGTCGTGTCATTAGGGATGAAATGCTCAGCCATGGAACATGGCTGAGAAATCAATGAAAAGTATTATTTCCAAATTTCATCTAAGTTCTTATGTTTTCTTATTCTCCCAAAGTCTATCATTTTCTGTAACACAGTGGAAGTAAAAAGGGACTGTTTGGAAAGCTGACAGAAAGGACATCTGGAGTTTCCCTTAGACCCCTACCTGTTCTAGTCTTACCCATCTACCACCTTCGAGCACCCCCCAGTACACAAAAATTTGTTTATCCCGTCCCTTTGAGGTCCTCTGCTCCCTACAGATCCTTACAGAAGTGTGGAGTACCCCAAATTTAGGAACAGACCTACATATAGAAATGCATAACACACACACAAACACCAAAAGAAACGACAGTGGGAGAGACTTGATTATTACTGGTCAGACTAGTAACCAGGGCATGAAACTCTTTTCTAATCTAGGGCCTTGATTATAATACATTTACAGCCTGTTTTTACACTTTCTCCATTACAGGGCTCTTCAGGCACTGTTCTTACCGACAGCAGTAGGCCTTCCTCTTTTTATATAATCCGCCATTTCTCTGCTAGAAGCCGCTGTTATACACCTTTCCCTTCCCAAACATGGTCGGAGGTGGGCCGAGGGTCTGGAAATCACACTAGCAAGAGACATTTTAATTTTAGCGTTGTGTACTATTGAAATTACCTCCGTTCCTCTCTGTCCTCTTTCTTCTCTCCTCTCCTCTCCTCTCTTCCTCCGCCCGCGCCTCATGATCAGGTAACATATCCCACATTCATCTCCGATACCCATATCCACACTCCCAAACCATTCCCGCATTCTCACTGACCTGTTCTGCCTGGATCAGGGGCAGTTTTCTCATTTCCTTGCCTCAAGGGGTGCCATGCCCTACAGAAAGAAGGAGAGTCAGATGGACACAAGGACACGACACAATGGCGGCGGCAACTGTGTTTAGGGATTGGTCCCGCATCCGGGACGAGATACCTGCTTTATCAGATAAAGGGCCGTAATTGCCAAACAACAGTAACTTTTGGGTATTCCCTTGCCCTTCCCATCCCGAGTTCCTCAGGGACCCGCTCTCTGTGACTAAATTAACAACTACCTCTTCCTCTGCAGATTCTGCCTTACCACTTCCCCAATACCAAAATCGACTGAGGGAGGAGCTAGTGTAGTTAAGTGGGCCCTGCCTGACGGAAGCCGACTGATACCAACCTTTGCAGAATCCCCGCTTCTTTGTCGCTGAGTTCTGTCCTGCCTACCCGGCTCTTTCCCGTACTGGAATGGGCAGGGGCGGGATCAGGATATGAAGAAAGCAGCGCTGACGGAGAGACGCAGGCTTATATCAAAGGGTCTAGGTATTAGCTTCTTTTAGGAGCTCACCCGCCTCCCGAACTGAAACGCTCCTGGATTTCGGGCGGTGACGTCAGTGAATCAGCTCTCGCTGTACGAGCGGAGGGATACCAAAGTGTCTTATTTACACTTTCACGTCACCAAAACCCCGTATTTACACGTTAACATCACCAAAGCCTTAGGCCCATCGAAGTGGGCGGGTTGGAGGAGGGGACTGATATGAGAAGGTTGGGAGAGAAGCTGGAGACTGAGACGGTAGATTCTAACCTATTTTAAAAACTGTGTGTTCCTTCTGTGAGAGAAACCTCTCCGAGTACTCAATTTTATACACGAAACGGGACGGGGCGTTTGGAAAGCTGTTGTGAATTGATGTGTTGATCAATATAAAACACCTTAGTCTTTTCTTGTTTCTTCCCCTTTCTTGTTCCTATCGCCCACCCAATTTCCTGCACCGAAACAGTCTAGGTAAAGGAGGGATAAGGATATAGGAAAAGCAGAAGTGAAAGAGAGAAGCTTATGAATACCAAACTACCCTTGTGAGCACTTGTCCCATTATTACGACTTCCCTCCCCTCCTGATGGCCGTGATATTTTCCGCACCTAAATTTGTAGGGGCCTGAGCGTGGGCATGAGGAAAGCAATTCTCTACTCAAGGAAGAGAATTAATTGTCAAATATATTTGTGCCTGTAAACCACCCCCACACTCCATATTGCATAGTTTGCTTATTTGTCACCTGCAATGAAGCATGAAGTAGAACAGAAGTAAGCAGCTTCTAAAGTAAGAATGGATTAAGTGTCAAACTCTCCCATTATCCCATTGTGAGCCCCTTCTAGGCCTGACCAACTATATCTCCTGTACAAAAAGTCAGGTTGGTAAAGGAAGTGTCAGGAAAACATGCTGAGGGAAGAAAGGCAATTTAAGGCCAGATCACCCTGGAAGTTCCGGGGCGGTCCTCCCAAGTTTTTCTTGTACTGTTCAGGGAGCTACAGAGGGGAGGAAGGCAAGAGGGGGCTACCATGGAGGTCTCACCATTTTCTCCTCTTCTACTGGAGGACAGACCTAGACCTCCAACCCTAGGAAACAATCCAATACTCTGTGCCCAGAGTCATTCTCTCTGCCACACTGCTTTTTCCCTCTCATTTGAAATGGTTACACACTTTGCCATTTCACAGTTTCCACAATTGCCCAAGAAAGAGGACCCACACCAGGTCATACTATCCTCCCCGTATGTGGCTCTACATCTAAGTGTCATATACCAGGTGGGTAGTGTTCTGGATCTTACACTGACTTCCCTAACAAAAAGGGACACTACCCATGTATACACTTCTCAAGGCAGATCCTAGCTGCTCTCCTGACTCCTTTTCTTTCACAAACCACATCTTGCCTAAGGAATGCACATACTCTTTCTCCCTGAATATGTAAAAATTTTTTTGACTTTCCATTCCAAGCAGTGGCAGGAAAGTATGATATGAATGAGACTCTGTTTCATGTAGGAAGGGCCCTTTTCTAGGCATTGTTCACCACTGTTTTCTCAATGCTACACATAGAAGACAAAGTAGTCAGTCAATCAATCAGTCGTTGAAGGAAGGGAGGGACCATCGAGTCATGAGAATTCCATGGCAACTTCTATTGGCTGCAGATCGATGCTTATCTACAAATGTGTCTTTGTCTTTGATGTCTGTGACCCCCAGGCCTTAGCCTAGAATCTGTCATGTAAGAGATGTCCTCTATATAATTTTTCAATGGAGGAAGGATGCAAGAATTTAAGAAATATTTTGAATAGAAACCTGAGGTATCTTAATATCTCATACTATAATGAATATTTGGGGGGATATATGTAATTTGTATTTTATATTAGTGATTCATTAGCTTTTCTGTTTCTGCATTTTATTCATACCTAAATATATGCTTTACTAAGTTCCCTAATATAAAGAAAAAGACCAATGACTAACAATCCAATAGAGAAATAGGCAAATATATGAACATTGTTCATTAAAAAAATCAGTGTTTCCTAAATGTATGAGAAAATGTTTCATCTCACTGATAATAACAGAAGTGCAAATTATAAAGTGATATATTTTCTCATCTATCAATTGGCAAAGAGCAAAAAATTTGAAAGCAAATTTTATTGCAGAAGAGGTGGGAAAACTGGCATCCTTATACATTGCCAGTAGGAGCATAAATTGTCACTCTCTCTGTGAAGGTAATTTGGCAATATTTATCAAAATAAAAATGCACAAAGCCATTAACTAGCAATTGTATTTTAAGAACGTATCTTAAAGTAATAGTTGTACATTGCAAAATACTGTGTGTACAAGAATATTCACAACAGAATTTTTTAATAGTGAAAGATTGGAAAGATTCTAAATAATTATCAATGGGGCAGGT